GGGCCCGGGCCTAAATGGGCTAAACGGGCCGGGCTAAACGGGCCTGGGCTTAGCGGTCCCGGGCTTCGTGGGCTCAAAGGGTAGGACCAGCCGTGATGGGCCTAAGCCCATATGGTCCTGGGCTAAATGGGCCGGGCTCGTGGGCTTAGCCGGCCTAACGGGCTTTTTTTATTTTCGAGCTTTTTTTTTTTTAATTTTTTTATTTAAGGCAATTTCTTGTAAACCATATGTGTATGTATATATATAAATTGCTCTTATGCATGGCTATATAAATATATGTAGTATATATAATATAGAAATCTAATTATTAAAGTGTTTGACGAAAATGTAAAATAACAAATCAATAGTAAAACTAAATTGGCATGCATAATAAATTAATAACAAAGTACAACATGAAGCATAAATACGTCTAATAATTTTAAAATAACACAAATTGTTGAAAAATCTTAAAGACGAATTTGCGGATAAATACCCTCAACACAATACTTTATATGCCTCCTTAAAATGCCTGTGGTACACCCTGAACGAAAATTTAAAACTCTTCCACAGTTCTTGCACTTTAATATTTGGCTTTCTTCATTTTCTTCAAGCACTTCATAGTATTGCGAAACAAATAAGCGCACTCTTTCCGAACGAGGCATGATTTAACTTGAAAATTAAGATTGAGACTTGAAGTCTTGAAAATTGGAGATTGAGAGATTGAGAGATTGAGAGAAATTTAGATTGAGAAATGAGTATTGAGTATTGAAATGAAGAAGAGGGAGGGGGGTACTTATAGTGTTAGAGAAGGTTAGTTTTGTAAATTGAAAAAAAACGGCTATTTGTGCAATATGACCGTTGGTGGTCATTGGGGGTGGGGCCCTCATTTTGAAAAATCTTGTTTTGTAGTATATATAGTACTACTTCTTCATGTATATATAATATATATAGTATACTAGTATAGTATACTATATATTGTATGTTATGTATATATATTATAGCTTATAAATTTTCTTGTAGTATATATTGTATGTTATGTATATATGTTATAGCTTATAAATTTTCTTGTAGTATATATAGTATGTTATGTATATATATTCCCTTATATATTTTCTTGTAGTATATATTGTATGTTATGTATATATATTATAGCTTATAAATAATTGCAAGTTAAAGACAAAAAAATATTGCAAAGAGATATTCAAGGGCATGTCTTATAATTTTTATTACCAAAAATGGCATATCTTTCTTAGTCTTCTTCCCCCCAATGGAATGAGCACAACAAGGTACTAATACCACCATTAAAAGGAAAAAAAACTAAAGAAGATATGCCAAAGTACAAGTTACACCAACAAGGTACTGACCGTTGGTCTTTTTAAAAAAAAAAATTTTTTTTTAAAAAGAGCCGTTGGAGCCCGTTAGGCCCGGTTGAACCGGCCCAGGCCCGCCTGCCGGTCCCGGGCTTAGCGGTCCCGGACTCGTGGGCTTGATGTAAGGAACCGGCCTGCCCCGGGCTTTTTACACCACCAGGGACCGGCCCACCACGACCGGCCCGCCGGGACCGTTTAGCCCGTTAAGACCGCGGTCCCGGTCCGGTCCCGGTCCCGGCCCAGCCCACCATACAGCCTTACATATACTATTAATCATGTGTTTAGATATAGTATATTCTAGCAATTGTTATAGTTAAAAGTCTAATTGGGAGATTGTTGGGATATATACTATTAACCATGGGTATGTTTCGGATATCGTATTTATTATGGAACAATCATTTATTCACTTTTAATAAAGTTTTAATATATCATATATTAGTCTGTGTCCTTTACTTATATAGTAGATGATTTAGTATATAGTGTTAGCTTATACACGAAAGATTAAATCATCGGTTCTTATAAGTATAAGGTTTGAGTTCATAATCTAATAATGCAACAACGATGACCCAGCAAAATCCCACAAGTGGGGTTTGGGGAGGGTAGTGTGTACGCAGACCTTACCCCTGCCCCGAAGGAGTATAGAGGCTATTTTTGAAAGACCCTCGGCTCAAAAAGACGGAAAAGACGAGAAGAGGAGGGAAGGGAAGGGACAATATATTAGTACCATCAAACAGAAACCAAGAAAATAATAACAGCATCATAAGAACTAGAAAATAGTTGAAATGCAATAACAAAATCAGAGCCCCGATGCTATGAAATGCGGCAGAATAGTTGTCATGCCCCGACCTTGGGAAGCGTGACTGGCTCTCAACCGAGATATCCCTGTCAAGCAAGCCTACTTGTTGCCTTCTACCCGACCTTACCCATGAATAAGGCGAAGATGTATTCCATTAATTAGATAATGAGAAGAGCGCATGAACAACACCAATTTCATTACAATTAGTTACTTCAATTATACTTTCCAACAATATATTACACATTCATAGTTGAGAAGTGAACAAATGATACATATACAACATTTCTAGTTTAACTTTCCAAAATCACGATATAACCCACACTATATCTACGGAGTCTCTAATGGATACAAAGAGTAATGTGATGGTGCCGGCAATAAGGTCCCGACTATACCTCAAAATACTATACAAAATGAGTAAAAGATACAAGACCCCGAGATGAAATGGGGCTCATCAAGTCAGTTGAGGAGATGGTGTACTGCTACCACTGATCGATGCCGCCTGCTGTGGAACCACTTGCATCCATTAAAGATGCAGCGTCCCCTGCAAAAGGGACAATAGTACATATTGAATAGTACTAGTATGTAAGACTAAACACCATCTAAATGAATCAAGCAACAATACAAGGAGAAAGAAACATGCAATCAATGAGGGCCTCAAACAATATTAAAGTATCAAGTTAAGAGGAAGATAATTTTCAAGTAGATATCATTATTTTTAAGTTGGGAGATCTCTAGCATCGATACACTACCGTGCTTTTATCACGGAGTTCGATCTCGCCCCAATCGGCTAAATTGTCTCACCCCGAGACATCTAATAACACCACCATGTGTGCGACATGACGTCCGATCTCGGCCCGATCGGCTAAGTCGTCTCCCAACAATGTCGTGTGGGTCGACATCACATTCTGCTAGAAATCATCTCATCCCAATTAAGGAAAATAATCCCAACACATCAATCTCATCCTAAATATAGCGAATAATCTCAACACATCAGTACAAGGATTTACCCCTAAATCACTCCTACACCGGCACGTATAGTTTTGGGGTTAGGTTATTTCATCTTACCCTTCCTTGGTAACTAAGCAATGCTCCCAAAACGTTCTTTATATAAAGGAGTTACATCTCATTTCATAACCTTTCACACATTCTTTTCATTTCATTGGCACTATTGGCCACATGTGTAACTTCCATTCATGGCATGGTGGCCACATTTTATATCTCATATTCACTTCTTTCACTTTCAAGCATCATCGTAGCTTATCAATAATAAAATCATTTGAAAATAAGACTTTTAGTATGTATATGAATAATAGGAGTCTAAGGAACATTGAGTTCTTCTTCCAAATTTAGGCATAATAACTTGCAATTGAAATGTGATTTTAAATCATAATATTTTGATACATAGGTCATACTTGAATACTGTCACGACCCAAAACTTGGCAAGCCGTGATGGCGCCTATCACAAAACTAGGCAAGCCGAGATTCACAATAAGGCTAGGCATTTTGTATTAAAAATAAGATGAAGCAAGTTTAACAGTAATAACTCTCGTAAATAGCCGATATGAACAATTGCGACTCGATTACTAACTTCCCTAAAATCCAGGTATCAT